GGCTGTGCCAAAGGGAACAAGGATTTCCAACTACCCCGCCCCATGTAATCCAACATACTCAATTCTCATAGGTTTCTTTGAAAAGGCTTGGGCTCAGTCCTACACAAATACTTCTGAAATACTGCAGCTGAATAATTCTGCAAAATCCTGAGTAATAAGCAAATTGAACTGTGTATTTATAAATTAAAGCACCACTAATTTGAGCCCTTAGGAAACAGGGACCAGAAAAAGAGAATCAAAATCATATCCCTTTTCCTTTATATTTAAAAATGTCTTCTTGGGCCTGCATATGTTTGTAGTTGGCTAATTTACCCATAAGAATTTCTCCTTTACCCCAGGGAAAAATATCTGCAATTACAGGGTTATCTACTACAAGAATGCACATAGCATTTTCTTTCTTTATCCTATATATGATACAAGAGGGACAACCTCAAGAAAAGGCATCAGAAATTCTCTACAAACCACATCAGGAATAACTGTAAAGATCTGCTGAAATGTCTTCAGTGTTCCTCAATCTGTCCTACATTCCTTTACCCCATCTGCCCATAGGACCGTGCAGTTCAGCATGCAGGCTCAAACCCTTTCAGAGGAGCTGAGGGCAAATTAAACTTTTTTTTGGCACAGGTCCTCCCTCCCCTGTGGTTTCCCAGTGAATGCTTTTCACTGTTTGCTACTGAAAAGAGAATATTAAAGCTGAGAAATTTGACTTCAGAGCTTTCAAACCTTATTACTAAGCTTAAGAGTCATAATTTCCTTTCTCACCTTTCCATCCCCACTATCTTCTTCTCCAAACCATCTCTTCCCCTCCCTGTACTACAGTGAAACAAAGAAAACAACATGCAAGCACAGTGCCTAAAAAAAAAAAAATATTATTTTTCTTCCAGTTACTCAAGACCTCTGAGCTCTTGGGACTTCTTTTATTTGCTGAGGTTGTAATAAGCTTTTTACAAAAGCTTACAAGCTGATTACAAGTTTGACATAGGAACATTCAACCCATTCCTAGTAGCCTGGAGAAAATTACCTGAATTTTCAGCCATGTTCTTTTGCTAAACAATATTTTTCTTTTTGGAAGTTTTCGAGCAAACCAATTTAAACCTGGGATTTGGCTGAGACCCACCTTTTCAGAACAGGACATACATGTTTCAGAATTCTTCCTGACTTCCCCTGCTTTTTCACCATTATTCATGGACTAAGAGTCCAAATTTCTCCCATTGTCTTTTGGGGTTAAACTAGAAGGCCATGTGCCAGCTGCTTCTCACAGCGTGACCTCCTGCCCCTGCCCCAACAATCCCATACAGCTGTGGGAACCATCCTCAACATGGTCCAACACTTAAGTCTCACACATCACATTTCTGATAATCTGGGAGGCCTGCCTTCAACGCATAGCCCAAAAATATTTGTCTGACTGGCCAGCCCCCATCAGCCAAGGCAGGCTCCTGGCCCTCCGCCTGCAATGGGACAAACTTGAACCTTATTTAAAAATCCTTCACCAAAAGATTGAAGTAAACACCTCCCACTGCCAATCTGAAACAGGCTCCAAGCTGCTGCCAAAGTTTGCCTAGTTCATCCAGGTCTAAAAATAAGACTGATGTGGGAATCAAGAGGTGGCCAGAAAGATGCTACCCAGTTCATTCCTTATGCACTATTTGTTACAGAAACCACAACCGCACTGCTCAGAAAGTGCCTTTGATCTTTATCTACAGTGGAGAAAATTTCAGTTTTAGGATTCACCTTCAGATTGAGTCAGTAAAAATAAGCCACAGACATTAAGGGCCTGCACTGCAACTTAATGACGGTTTTAATGAGCTTTTAAACTGGACCAGTAAAGCACTGCATGGTTGTGATTTTTACTCACAGTATGTGAATCTTTAACCTCACATTCCCAGGATATTATTTTTTTTTTATTTTTTAAACAAAGGTCAGCCTTTTGGACTCTGCTTCTGTTTCTGAATTGTATTTGATTAATGTACAAGACCGAAGAACTTTCCCCTTCCTGCTGCATCTAATGGGCAGAGAAGAGCTGTGCACCTTTGGAAAAGGCAGCAGAAGCGATTGTCCTGGCTCCACACCACATCTAGGCTCAAATACAGGGGAGAAAGACTCAACCGTCCTTGAGTGGAAAGGCACTGCAGAAGGAACTGCAAGGAGAATTTTAACTCCTTATTACACCCAGCACGGAAGTATTTGCAATGATTACAGTTACACATCTCGTAACTCTTGCAACGTGGAGTTTGTTGCAACACTTGTTTTCCCAAAAGCCTTTCCTGTCCCCACAATTAAGTACACAAATAATATTCACAGTGTAAAGCTTGTTTTTGTTTGCTTGTAGCTTTCAAAAAGATTCCCCTTAGGAGATGAAGTGTTCTAAGTTTGATCTCAGCCCAGGGGTAACTATTTCCCCACGTCCAAGCTTCCAGTTTAGAAACATGCATTTGGTTACCCTTCAACAGTGGGAAAGTGAGAAAATAGACGGTTCGACAGTTTAAGATTCTTCCTTTCACTGGTGTTCAGAGACTGCCTCAGGGAACAGAAGGAAAGGGGAAGCACGGGGGCTGCAGGGTAGGAAAAACATAACATGAGATGCGAGCACTACATGGAGGGACTGAGGGAATAGCAAGGTTGGCCCGGTTGTAATCAATTAAATAACTTCCTAGACAACGTAAAACAAGCCTACAAAATTGGACCTTACAGCTGCAGAGAAAAAAAAAATGTCTGGGCTCAGCCAGACTCAGGCTGCAAAAAGCCTGCTCTTTTAGATGATGCTTGATTGGGAAGCAGTCAAAGAGATCTTTGTATATATATCCATATAAAATTTGGAATCTCTGATCTCTGTCATACTGTTAGCAAAAAAGGAGTGTGACTAAGAAAGCTTGAATGCTACATCAGTATGGCTATCCAGCCCTCCCAGCCTCAAGTCTCTTAGGGTTATTTTCTTTTCACAGGTCGTCTTTTATTTCATGCCCATGATAGGTGGCTATTTTAAGGGGCTATAGAGAGGTGTTGAATGCTGATAAGGCAAATCCTGTATCCCTTAATCCACTGCTAAATCACTCTGCCAGCCTTCAAGGGTGCCAGACAGATGGACTGCACTAGGAAACTGCCCACAGGCTGGTTACTTCAACCCCAGCTCGTCTTTAATCCAGAAAGGTTTTGTTCTGGTATTTCAATCATTGATTGACTGGGAACTTTCTTCCATGCTGGGTTAGGTAAAATATCCATGTCAGAGGTACTGGGGAATTTGTGAGGCTGTAGATCATAGGAGTGGTGTGAGACAGGATGCGTCTCAAGGGAACCAAGGAAGCCATAAGGAATGTAAAAAGTCACAGGGTTAAAGCCACATTAAGACAGCTGTTATGTTAATGAGAGTTCTGCTTTTCTTCTAGCTGTGGGTCATTGATTTAGATAAACATGAACAAGGTCTTTTTCATTTTACCGTATTTTTCCACTAAAGCTAACATAGCCCAAAACATCATATCCTAGATCCCATTCGTCTTGCTCACAGAACTAGTGCGGGAAGTTATCTTTCTTATGTTTGTGCGTGGGTGATTCTCAGGGCTTGATTTGGTCCTGCCTGGCTCAAGTCTATATATGAAGCTGTTTTGCAAGCATTTCACTTAGTAAATATGTTAAGTAAAGAGTCATGCACCACTGAGTTTGCCTTCCAGACAAATTCATCCATACCATCTGATTTTCTCTCACAGTCATAATAACAAACACTTATAAGAAATGTGGTGCGAAGTCTTCTGCAAAAACATTTAGCAGGTAAAACCAAAAAAGCCTGGACCTTTCAAGACAGATACTTAGCAATACAGCCATGCTGCAACAGGCTTGCTCGTCTTAAAGTCAGAGAGATATTTTGTATTGCTTTTTCCAGTTTGCAGAGTCTGAATGCCTCAGGCTGAACTTCAAAGATAAAAACATAAAAACAGAGTTTCACCAAAGCAACCAAATTCACTTGTATCCTTGGTTATATGACAAGTTACCACTCATTTCTCTTCCTTGATTAGTTCACAAGCTACAACATTTTGCTTGTCACCCAATTGCAAATTTGCTTATGAACTCAGGCTGATTGAAACGGGGCATGCTTTTCCAAATGCCTCTTAGACGTCAAGTAGTGAAAGAGCATAGAGGATTCTGCCTGCAGTATTGAACACTTCACAGGATGCGCTGCTTTGCTGTGAAACAAAGTAAGTCCTAGTCTTAACCTGAACTCCGGGGTGCAGTTTATTCCAGAATTATTTGGCTTCTATTTGCTTGGTTTTGGACATCTGAAAATCCAGGTTCATGAGGTTTTTGGGGGTTTGAGGGTTGGGGGGGGGCAGTGTTGTTTTGTTTTTTTTTAGTTTAAACCAACTCCATGGTTTACTCCTCCAGCACGTTAGCTTGCTTTAGACAATCCAGATCTATATCAAGTTGTGACGATCTAGCAGTTATTTGAGGGTTTATTTTCTTTTGAATTAAATTGACCATGGGGATAAGAGAGATATCACAAGGTTTAAATCAAGTCAACTTTAAAAGCTAAACTAAAAGTTAACTGCAGATGCTGCACCAGTAACCTTGCTCGCTTGCATGGCTCCATAGATACATTGTACTTTTAAAAAAGGTTTTTCTCTCCTCTTTTAATGCCTAAAAGTCCCAAACAACAGATGAAGTCAGTTGAATAACTATAAACTGGCACAACAGCTGACCTGATTACACTCAGAGTGCTGTCAAATGCATAAACCAAATAAACTGGGATAACAGACCTTCTCCAAAGGCTATTATATTCATGGTATGTATGGAACAATTACTGGGGAAAACACAAAAGTTTTTTCAAAGCAGTTGTCTTAAACTGTTGGAAAACCAATGTCCATGTACAGATGCAAAAACCCTTAAGGTTGTAAACAACGTAGCTTCACATTTTCTTTCTACCCCAGAGTAGGATCATGTAAGAATATAAAAGGACTGACAAACTAACAGAAAAGGAAATTATCTTTGTTAGGCAGATTGCAAATACACACCTGGACACGAGCCTCTGTGAGTTTGGCTCTTTGCGCAAGTTCTTCCCTAGTATAAATATCAGGGTAGTGTGTCCTCTCAAAAGCTCTTTCCAGCTCTTCCAGCTGCTCTGCCGTAAAGGTTGTCCTGCTGCGACGCTGCTTTCTTTTTAAAGGTAAATCTGGTTCAGAATCGATATCAGAGCCATCATCAGACTGGGGTGCTGATGCTCAAAAAAAAAAAAAAAAAAAAGACAAAAATTAGCTTTAGTTGAGGGGAGAAATAAAAAGGCAAAATATTTGATCAATTGGTGATATCCTTTTATATAGAAGAGTTGCTTTTTTCCCCATGACTCAGAACTGAGTTGGCAAAGTTCAAAAAAAGTAAGAAACAAATCAGAGTCAAATGTTATGTTGTGCAAATGTGCTCAAAGAAATAAAGAATTGTCAAAAGTGAAACAAAGAGTTTAGCACCTTTTCCTGGCCCAAGAATATTTGAGGACCTCTAGAAATCTTTTTGAGTAAATTAATTATTTGATTTCTTGGTTTTAACTCCTCCAACAGTTTGCAAGTGTTTTAAGAAGTTGAATAGTACTGCTTAGTCCTAAGCAATCAGAGAAGCAATATGGCCTTGTTCCTTTCCCTGAATCAGTGAACAGATAGAAGTATTTGTCACACCAGTGCACCAGTTGCAACTTAAACATTCTGACTCTATAGACCCAAGTCCACAAGACCTTCCCCAGAGATCCATCACTAGAGTGCTCTTGCTGAAACGGTTATAGAAGTGATTAGAGGTAAGTGTAATTGAAGAAATTAATTCTTATACACAATCAAATATTTACTTTATGTCGTGTTATTTGTCCTACACTCTGAACAGTATTTTACATGTTTGTGTTAACTGTATCTCAGTACATTTAAACAATGCCACTCATTTGCAACTTACTTGCCCATCTTATGACCACTCAACATAACCTTAGGACAGGCCAGACAAGTGTTAATATAAAAAAAAAAAAAAAAGTTTGAGACACACATTGCAGAGAAAAGTCCTGTAAGAATAGCTCAGAGCAATAGTTTGACTCTACTCTTCAAGTTACTAAAGTAAGGAGATTCCAGCATACATGATGACCAGAGCTAACATACACAGACTGCATGCTTCCTTCACCTAAGGTTTCATCATTATTCCTCCTAACCTTGGGAGGTTTTCTAGCACAGACCATGGCTACACACAGATGTGCTGATGCTCAGCCTCCAGGCAACGGTCTAAGGATGTGACTGCAAAACAACCAGGCTGTGTTGGACCAAAGGCCGCTCATGCCACTGCCCTAGTCAGTACTTAAGGAAAGTTGGCAAGAAACAGACCATGTACAGCATGTCTACAACCCAGGAAAGGGCTACCAACTCTTGCAATCAGCGATTTAAAGAGAAATCGGAACTGAAATTCTTTCTGGATTTTATGGAAATGGGGAGAATGAGCTCACACAGACAGACAGACAGCTCCTGACATCACTGCTTGTTTCCCCTGTGTTCCCTGGAAATCAAGTGGACTTCAGCTACAGCCCAGCTGCAGCTGAACCATAGCTATAGCTGTGAAGGCAGCAAAGCCTCTTCCAGTACCCAAACACATTCTCTTTCTCCATCAAACAGTAATGAACCAAAAGAGTAGACTTCCAAAGCCAATATTCACTTACATCACCTGCTGTGCCAGGCGACAAGCATTCCTGAGTCTTCAAGGGAAACCACTTAAAGAGGGCAGACACTCCCCAGTGATGCTGAAACTGCTTCTTCATTTGAAATACAGGCATTATTTCTACTACTTCAATTTTGGCAAATAAATTATTGATATAGACATTGATTTAAAATAATTTTCTTAACGTGATTATTTAGAAGTAACTGAGAACATAAAGCCAAAAAAAAAATCACTGTTTCTCAAGCTCCAGCTAAAACCCCCCACTATGTTCATTTCTAGCTATCTTACATTTCCAACTTCACTCAAGCTGTTTGAACTAATAAATACACCTAATCTGTTTACTTCGTCTTACAGACTAAGAAAGACAAAGTGCTTTTTCAGACAATTCAGCTCAAGAGTTTATGAATTTCTGCATGCCAAAAAAAGAAAAATTACTGCTAGACCAGAAGCTCTTATGTGAAAGCCATCTTCATTGTCCAGACACCATCAATATCTTGGACCCAACATACACAGGACATCAGGAGAAACTCCCATAGAGTTCAGCGTCAATGTACCGTGAAAACATCCAACTATCAGTCTCTTACTTGTATGGAAGCTTTGCCCCAAGTAAGACTGGATTAAGCTGTTCTGCTTCTTGAGAATATTGTCCTCAAGAACAAAGGGGAATCATCACAAACATCCTCTCCCAAGCAGTTCAAGCTCATTCCTTATTAAACAGGCAATCTATGGTATCCCAAACTGAACATAACACATTGTCCGAATTAGTGACAAATCCCAAATCTTCTCAGTTGGGTTCCCAAGTGACAGCTGTCTTACTCAGCAACTGCCAAGTTACAACCCTCCAGGATGGTTTCATGCTTCTGTTCAAGAATAAAAAGAAACACAGGATATTTAAAATATAGTTTCTCTATGTTAGCCTCAGATACAAATCACCAAATCTTAAGCAGGAAAGCTCTTGCTTAACAAGCTAGACTAGTGGAAGAGAGCACCCCAGCCGTGCTAACAGGGTCATATCGGCTAGCACTGCACTCTGACCATTCCTGGTGTGGTAAGATCTGAAACACAGCTCAGCAAGGTCCCTTTTGGAGACACCTTTGACAAAAGTTACCTTTGATTGTGCACCATCAGTTGGTTTGTTTTGGTTTTGGTTTTAATTTTTTTTTTTTTTTTTTTAAAAAAAAGGTCAAATCGCCAGATCTCAGGTATTCTTTCAATGCTCTTTCAGACTCTACACACCTGTATGGAACTTTTTCAAACATCTACATATACGCCTATAAAAAGCCAGCTTAAATTGTGCAATTTAAAGTGGATATTTATTGCTAAATTTCTGAAGTGAATCCACTCATCAACTGGATGGGACGTATCAGAAGACCCAAAATGAGCTTTCTAAAAATGTTTTATAAAGACTTAACAAAATCTTGTTGTTTCCCTGCACCTTGCACCATGCAGCAATGAGAACACAGAACTGAAACACTAACTTAATTTCATTTTCATTTTAGCTTTACATTTCATTAAGCAGTACATGAAAGGCACAAAGACAAACCAATCAGAAAAAAAAATGAAGTATGTAAGAGTCCAGGACAATATGCCTCATCAAGTGCAAACATTTGCAGAGAAAGTAATAAAATTAAAGTAGGGAGAAAACAGGCATCAAATGAAATGGCTTTCACGTTTATAAGATTTCATCCATGTTACCCTTCGGCAGACCTGGCTGCTATGTGCAGCTTTACTGAAAACATTGAGTTCCTTTGTCTTTTCTGATCTGCAATATCAAAATCAGACAAATGTAATCTCAAATGATAGCTACATGTCTGTACTACAAACTGCTCTATTTTTATTTCTTACAAAGTCTTCTTAAATGTTATTATTTTCAATGAAGTTTGTATTCATATTTTCTCTTATTAAAATAACATTATTAGACTTTTATATAGGCAAGAAGCAAATCAGAGTATTGGCTAAGCACATAAATTGGACATACCTCACCCTTCAAAAAAGCAGTATTTTGTGTATGATCAATAGCCATGGTATTGTCCTTTTGCTAAGCAGTATCTCACCAATAGATCCACTGACTTCCATGATACAAAATGACATTATTCAGCACAGGTAGAGGTGGTCAGATTTTGGCTGGGTTATTTCTATCTCCATCACCTCCACAGACACACATATTGACAGTTGTCCTAATGATCTTAATACCGCAACACCTCAAAGTACAAGTAGGAGAAAGAAGGAGCCTTACCAAGGCCCTGGGAGATCCCTGGCCAGACTCCTTGGGATCACCAGTAACCCCCTTACTGCACAGCTCAAAATAAGAGAGGCAGCAAAAATCACTTTCAGTAGCTGAGCCATGAAGTTTAATTAAAGAAGTAATTACAGAATTCAAGAGCAATTATTTGTCCCTTAACCCCTCGTGACCTGTCTGGTGGCCTGAGGAAGTGCTGCATGCTGGTTATCACCACAATATGCAAAAAACCTCTGCCCGGTGTCAGAGGCACTCAGTCACCTAAAGCTCTGCAACGATCCCTTTTCCAAACGCTGTAAATAGATATGCCAAGGCAAAAAAAAAGGAACAACGAAATAGCACGGAAGAGGTCACTCTGTGGGCTGTTCTTCCTCTCAGCAAGACATTTCATTTGAATAATTAAATAACAGAAACATGACAACCCTTTAAAACCCATACATTACGGCTGCAGCACAGCACACCTGAAAAACACAGGCAGAGAGGTTATCCTTCTGTGACCTGCATAGGCACAGCTTCTCTGGCAATCCTTCAGTGACTGTGAAATTTTTTAATAAAGTATTACACAACCTCTTCCTATAAGTGTAACAGCCTGGGGTCTGCCTTAGATAAATTCTGTCTAGCCGCAGATCTTGCTAAAATAAGCCAAAAAAACCCCAACAGTCCAAAGGCCAAGGAGGGTTCTGGTGGTAGCTTATTTGCTAGTTACTCTCACGGAATCTTCTCATTTCTTTATTTATACAAGATTAATTTCACAGGCTCTCCCCTTTGTGCGACATCTCCATCACCCAGGGCTGCGGCCAGGGCATTCTCAGCTTTGGGCCTAGCCGGAGCATTCTGCATCGGAGGCAGCAGGTACCATGGGGTTGCCAACGGCCGCCTGATCCCCAGCAGCCTTTCACGCCCAGAGAGATGCAAGTGACCTCCCTCGTGTTTACTCGGGTGCAGGCGAGGAGTGCAGCAGGGCTGCTACCCCCACACAAACCCACAGTAAATGACAAATGACACTTTCTCTTTGTGATCTTTGGGATTTTTGTTGACTTATTTGGAGGCTTTTGTTGAGTCCTAAGAAATGGCCTGTGGCTGAGGCCCATTCGGCCGATTTCCACGCTCCATCTGTGGTATCCATCAGCAGGGCCTTTGCCCGCATTCAGGGCTCTGACACCTGCCTGGCAGGATGCAGGAGGCACAAAGGAGGCTGCCGCGGACACAAGGGGGGC